CCGCCAGGTGCTGTTGTTGTTGTTGTTGTTGTTGTTGTTTTTGTTGTTGTTGGTGTTGATGCTGTTGTTTTTTTCTTTTTCTCCAAAACGACGACGTTTTAGCCGAGACTCCTGCCTTCTCTCCCCTCCAGGTTGTTGTTGTTGTGGTTGTTTGTTATTTATGCTGTTGTTGTTGCTGTTGTTTTCTTCTCCAAACGACGACGAGGAGTAGATTGTTGGCGGGTGCTCTGGTGTGGTTTGCTCCTTCTTTCCTATCAAGCATCTACCGTCCTGATCTCTCCTCCTTCTTTTTTGTGTTAGTTACTCTCTCTCATAACACCTCTAATATTTGGCGCTCATATGACCTTATTGTGTTGCAAGTGCCGTAAAACACTTACTAAAAACTAAAAGTAAAAACGACAAGGTTTTTACCGAGACTCCTGTCTTAATAATAATAATAATAATGGATTGCGTTTATTTAGCGCATATCCACTTATGCAATGCTCTATGCGCTTAACATGATAATATTATGGATTTACAAATCAATTTTAAAGTACATACTCGTGCAAACACATATTCACTCACGCACGCACCACACACACACACATACACACACACATACATACACACATACACACATACGTACATATGCACATACGCACATACAAACTCACAACGATCTACAGCTTGGATGGATTCTGTCTAATCGAAATATGATGAAAATAGAAATGCTTTTAGTTTCTTCTAAAAAATTTCTAGATTTTCTGCTTCTCTGGTAGTTTTTGGAAGCCTATTCCAAACAAGTGGGGGCAAAATACGAAAAAGAGCGTTGGCCATATGATTTGTAATTTATTTTAGGCTTAACAAGGGTTGTTTTGTCACTTAATGATCTGAGCGTTCTAGGAGGCACATGGGGGTGTTAAAAGATGTTTTAGATAGTCCGGTGATAAATCATTTAAGCACTTGTAGCAAGTTAAACAGATTTTATATATGATACGCTCTTTCACTGGGAGCCAGTGTAATGCTTTTAAAATAGGAGTCACATGATCATGCTTTAGTTTTTTAATAATTATTCTTCTCCCCCCCCCCTCCTTCCTCCCCCCAGGACGTGTTGGAGCTGAGCGAGTTGAGCAAGCTAACCAACTTTGAGCCCATCTTCTTCGTCCGCGTCCCACCCCCGGGCTCCCGGACAGTGGACACTGACCCTCCGGACGGCGCACCCGGGGAGACGGTGACCAGTGGTCAGCTGTCCCCATCCTCCCTGCCCCCCTCCTCGCCCACACACGCCCCGTCATCGTCGTCTAGTCACTACCCGCCCAGCCCCACCACTCACCACCCCCACCCCAACTCACGCCACTCGCACGCCAAAGCTCATCATCACAAAAACAGCTCCGCACAAAGCGACGGCAACAACTCGTCTTCACAACAGCAGCAACAACAACAGCAACAGCCGTTGTCCTCGCCGTCAGAGTCTGCCCCCAGCTCGCCCACCAAACAGCAACAACAACAGCAGCACCAACAACAACAACAACATCAGCATAATCGCAACTCGTCTTCATCACCAGCCAACGCTCCTTCTTCCTCGTCAGGCGTATCGTACAACAACAACAACAACAACGACTACGACAATATTGACAATAACCACCACGTCGTCGTTGACCGTGGCGCGGTCGCCGCCTCCCCCTCTCCCTCTACCACCTCCCAATCCTCCTCATCCTCCTCCATCACCACCACCACCGCCACCCCCTCCTTGTCCCTAAACCCCGGTGACAAACAGCTCTGCGTGTTGGACCAGCTCCGACGGCTGGGCTATCTGGACGGTGACCCGGACGTGAGGCAGTACCGGCGCGCTCTCTCCACGACCTGCCTCGACGCCGACAGCGTCTTCGTGGAGCGCTTCCCGGACTTCCTGCCCAAGCTCACCCAGTTCTCCAAGAGGGGCCTGCAGACGTGCCTGGTGAACGCGGCCACGGTGCTGAACGTCTCGCACACGCGCGGGCTCAACATGTTCATCCTCTCCGCCTTCGACATGGCGCGCGACATGCTCATCACGCCCAAGAAGCTGGAGTTTGCGCGCGAGAAGGAGGAAGAGCTGTACCGGTCGCTGCTCAAGATCTCCGTCTCCAAGCTGGACGAGATCAAGGAGCTCATCTCCAGCACCATCTCCTTCATCGGGACCTGTCTCGTCGCCGAGGCCGGGGAGTTTGAGTTTATTGGTAAGTTTGGTTTGTGTCTGTCGTGAGTTTGAGTTTATTGGTAAGTTTGGTTTGTGTCTGTCCGGAGTTTGAGTTTATTGGTAAGTTTTTGTGTTGTCTGTTGTTTGTCAGTTTGTGTGTTGTCTGTCCAGAGTTTGAGATTATTGGTCAGTTTGTTTGATGTCTGTCCAGAGAGTTTGAGTTTATTGGTCAGTTTGTTTGTTGTCTGTCCAGAGAGTTTGAGTTTATTGGTCAGTTTGTTTATTGTCTGTCCAGAGAGTTTCAGTTTATTGGTCAATTGTGTGTTGTCTGTCCAGAGAGTTTGAGTTTATTGGTCAATTGTGTGTTGTCTGTCCAAAATTTGAGTTTATTGGTAAGTCTGTTTGGCATCTCTCAGAGAGTTTTAGTTTGTTGGCCTGTTTTTTTTTTGGTTGTCTGTCCAGAGAGTTTGAGTTTATTGGTCAGTTTTTTTGATGTTGTTGTTTTGTCTGTTGAAAGAATCTGAGTTTGTCAGTGAGTCCCCCCCCC